ATAGGTAATGAAAGTTAATTAGCGTCATATTGGCATTTATTCCAGCACAGTATTTCATTTCGACTGTTGCTCCAGATGATGGCTTATCTGTGAAGTTAAAACTTGTAGTTTAAATACTTTTAAAAGTTACATGGGAAATTCCAAATAGGACTATGTTTTTTTTCACCTTTCTTTCAAGGCAGCATATAATTATACTAGATATAATCAGTATATTGTGAAATTGTTGATTTATTTACTTGGATTTTTACCTTGCTGAGATGGTATATAAAGGACATTGGTGGTAATATTGATTAACATGGAATAGGTTTCCTTCTATTAAAAACTACCATTTTTAATAGTTCAATTGCATTACTATTCTAGTTATATATGGATGCATAAACTTTATTCAGCTTATCTAATGAAAATGAATTATTTTTCTAAAATCAGCTAATTAAAATTCAATTCTAGTTTTGAATTATGTTGCAGTTCTACATGGTGAATCCCTACTCCTTTTAACAAAGAAAGCATTTGTTTCTAAACTGGACCGCTGAATTCCCTTACTACTTTAGACAAAAAAAAAAAATCTTGTGTGTTAGATTTGACAGTTTGTATTTCCAAAATATAAACTGCATCAACAATAAAAATTCTGCGATTCAGTAAAACTCTGCCCACATAATATATCTGTAACAATAAGGATCAAATCCTGACACCACTGAAATCATCTGTTGAATTTGGAACCGATATTTCCCCTGTAATCTGTAGCCAATGTACTATGCATAGTTTATAGAATCATAGAATGGTTTGGGTTGGAAGGGACCTTAAAGATCATCTAATTCCAACCCCCCTGCTGCAAGCAGGGACACCCTCCACTAGACCACGTTGCCCAAAGCCTGTAAGGTTACCTTACACGTACTGATTTAACAATTCATGTCTTAGTGCTTTAAAAACACATATGACTAAAGTTTCTGTCATTTTTTTCTTGATTCATTATGAGCTTAGTCCTGCATAGTGATGAATGCTCTTGGTCTTCATGAAAATTGACAGCATTCAATCCTTCTCAATAGGGATAATGCAGTGCTGAGTGTTACTTCAGCAGTATTTTTACAGAGCATACATGCGTCATACTGTGCTGCCAGACAAGTATGGATCAAGAGCAGCCATGTTTAGCTTTTTAGTTTGAATGCATTCACTGCGTATTACGTTAATTTCGTGCCGATAGCCAGGCCTGCGGGTAATTCCAGTATTTATAGTGCTGTTGAACTTAAAGCAAAATTTGGTCTCAGGTTCTCAGCATACTCAGATTTCTGTAGATTATTAAAAATGTGGTGTCTGTTTGAAAAGCTTACTGCCCAAAGCAGAATGTGGTTTAACACAGGAAACATACTGTATCAACTAGCAATTAATGAGAGACTATCAAGATGGATTTAAAAAGAAAATTGCTCTCCAAATCTTATCAAATATTTAACATAGCTGCCCTAGCTTTTTATCATGTGACTAAGAGAAAGCAGAAATCCCTAAGATCGGTTGCTATTTACTGCAGCCTGTTCAGGAAGGCATGTAAGCTTGCGCTTAACTGTCACCGTGCTTCACAGGCTTTGGCTTGCTCTTGTAGTCAGTGGGACATCAAAGGTTGCTTAAGGGCTTTGTTGAATCTGGGCTTGCACCTTCAGTAGCAGATCAAGGAGGAACCGTTACCTGGGGTGGCTTTTCTTAGCTGTTCATCGCTAGGATCAGATTGTGGAGGGCATCTCAATGATGACATACAATAACTTGTTTTCCCAAACAAAAGTTTAGGTCAATACTTGTTCTGAAGTCAAGAATGAGGAGAAGAGTTGCTTCTCCCCTCCAGTACCAGAAGCCTAAACCACCTACCAGATTCCAAAAGCCATTGGTGCCTCCCCAGATGCTAGCAGTCCTGTACGTCCATCCAAGCGGTCAAAATCTGTAGCTTCCTAGCTGTCAGTTCTACAATGTAATGACAATATCTAACCACTAGAGTTTTGTTGCATACTAAAACTGAGTGGAACATAAAAGTAAATCTCGTGTATTATCAAAATAACGTAAGGAAAAACATTCTCATTTTATTATTCACTTGTCAATTCTGTTTAGCAAAACTCTTTGAAATGTACGTGAATTCCTGTAACACTTCCAGTCTGCTACAGAGTTCAGCAACTCTCTCAATATATGATCAGTATGGCCAGCATAATGTGCCAGGTCTTCACTCAGGCACAGATTCAAAGCAGTACTCTGTGCATGGCATGGCAGAAGTCTGTATTTCACTGTCATAAGACATTGGGTTTAGGAAACTAATTTGCTGAGAATAAATTTTGTTCCCCAGATGTGTTTCAGCTTCATTTTGTGCAAATTAGGGGGAACAGCTTCAACTATTTTATGGTATTTGATTTGTCTACTTCTGTGGCAGTAGTAAGAGATATTTTTCACAATTGGTACAGACATTATATACAAGGCAGCTGGGTTGCTTTGTTTCAGGAGTCTAAATTAATTTCATACTATACATATATGATATTTCAAGTACTTTGGTTTGCTTGTAAAATTGAGAAGCTAAGATTTCAGTGCAACATTTCTGTTAACTATGACATGCTGTCTTGCAGCTACAAAGTAGATAAACAGTTATTAATTTCACGATTATTAAAACAGCAGTATTGTACTTTATTCCTAACTGAGATCATCTTACATTTCTTGTCATATGCTGGAGAAAGAAAAAATGTATATAGATAATACTTTCATACTACAAGTCCAGGGGGTACTGCTGACATAGAATATGTGGAGAATTTCATACTTGCAAGAAGGAATGGAAAAATAATCTACTGTGTTGTTTATGTGTTGGTGATATATATCTTTGAGACATATGTTAGCTCTTGGAATATTGAATGCTCTCTAGGTGAAGATACATTGCTCAGTTTTTATAAAGATATTTTTATGTATATTTTGGGTAAAAGCCAAAACTCTTACAAATAATTTGAGCCAAGGGATTAAGTAGATACCTTGAAACAATGAAGATGGATCATTTTATACCTGGTTATAAATAAGCACATACAGAAATAAGATATGTATTTCTTTGAAAACTGTTGAGCATTCCTAAAGTTTGTAAAGTCTCATTTTAAATGGGAAGTTTTCTAATTAAGTGAAAAAATACTAACTATGTATCATACCTTTTTATTGAACTACAAATACATGTGGTAAATTCCAAATGGAGGTTAAGAATATGGATATCAATAGGAAATAATGGAGAAACTGAAAATGAAAAGCAGCTGAGGCTATGTCTTTTAGTCTTACTGTTCTGACATGTTACAAAATAATTTGAGGGTTTTATATACATATCACAATACTGAAAGGCATCATTAAAACATATATTGAGTTTCTCAGTGTCCACTGTTCTTACTGTTTTCCTCTACCAGATTGGAATGTGTTATGAAGTGTGAGCACTTGCACACCTTTTGTTTTCCAAGCACAGTTAGCTTACATGCATTCATGTGGAGTTAGACATGTTAAAGCATTCAGTAGCTTTGTGCAGAAATAAAGCTTCACGTCCATGAACTTGTTGTACACCTTTTCAAGATGCAGATGTAAGTAGTTTTATAAATGCTGCTATATTTAACTGTGTATGGGCATTGGTATTCTGTTTATGTGATCTTGATTAAAATAATAGAAGATGAAGTTTTTGTTATTGGAAAATCACAAAGGATGAAATGGACCTTTAAATAATGAGAAACAAAATAGTCGTGTGATGAGTTTTTTAGTCTACTGTTTTAGACCTGCAGTCCATAATCACTCAGCAGCCATTTAAGAAAGAACAGTGGGATGAATCCAAATAACATCCTACTGATCCTTAACGTGATTGTTCCTGTAATGCAGATTTTATATTTCTGCTATAACAGTTGGCTGGTGCCAGGTTTTTGCTAGTTGCTGTGTTTTAGAGAACTCTGATATGATGAGATGAAGGCAGAAATGAAAAGTTTGGCAGAGGAACACTTGAGATACTTCAATTTTGGAACTTGGTCAGATGTTATAGACAGTTAATAGGAGTGTGGCTTGAGTTGAAGGATGCCTGTTGTAAGAATGAATGTTAAAAATACTGAAATTAATTGTTCAAATGGAAATGTTGTTTTGCCATTCATCATCCAGGGGCACAGTGGCGATACATTTGTCTGGTTGTACTATGTGCATTATCGTGTTTGTCAGTGTTGGCAAAAAGAGCTAACGGAAAAAAATCCAGTCACTTAAAAGTATCTTTTTTAACTCTTGTTGAGTATTTTTTGTTCTGTGTTTTTTAAAGTCTTAAAAAATCAAGTAGTTTGTTTTTTAAATATTATGTTACATTCCAATTCTGGTTTCTTTTAAAAGACTTCCGTAATAAAATCACTATTTTCATCAGTGCAATTACTAGTTGATTTACTTTGGCATACTCTTTTCAGCCTAGAGACACAAATGACACACTTGGCTGTTGAATGAGGCATTCTCAGCCTGTGAAGAGAATGGGTTTTCATCTTCTTTTAGATTTAACCTTGTGCCAAACTTTTGTAGAGATGGTGGAGGTGATTATTTCATATTAAATAAATGTCAGTTTCTTTGTGTAAACTTTTCAAAAGTACATTCTTTGGTCATCATATCACTTACGTTTTAGTCAGATTTGCTGTTGACCCAAATGGAAGCAAGCTACCTTTTTATTGTTTCCTAAAGGAGGAGTACTTTCCTCTTTATATGTAAACTATGTTGGTGAAATTATATTTCAGACATGGGAGTGAGAAAACTGCTAATTATTTCCGTAAGTGAGAAGAATCATAGCAATACCTATCTAGCAGAAATCGAGGAAAGATACCTATATGTACACACATATGCACACATATAAATATATGTTATTCTTACATGATATCAAGTGATTAAAAATTATATTGTGTATAGAAAGGATATCAGAGGGACTCCATAAGGCAGAAATGAAATTATAATGCATTAACATTGAAAATGGGTTTGCTTATTTTCTTTGTATGTTTTTCTTGAAGGATTGTTCATCTTCAGAAGAATACAGCATTGCTGCAGCATTGCTACCCTTGACAACTGCTTTTTATAGGGTAAGTTTTTTATTGAAAACCACTCCTATTTTGGTTGTTTGGTGTTTTGTTTTTTTTTTTTTTTACATTACGTACATTGTTAAAGTGGAGAAGGTAATCACAGGAGATACATTGTGGGTAGGAAGGTTCATTCTAAAATTGATTGAAATGGAAGTCTTTTAATAGCCTATTGTGGACATTGCTCCAGAATTACACTTATTGATGTTGGGTGATGATGATTATGATAAATTTACCCAGAACTAAATGCAGACTTATATGATGGGTTAGAGAATTATCATTGAATTATAACTAATCACTAAAACAATTGAAAATAATAATTTCTGATGTTACTGTGTGAAACCTGTTTATTGGAGTATTTCTATGTTTAATTTGGCATGTTAAGCATTGGCTAAAAAGTACATGCTAAGTTTTCAGACCGCGTAGTTGTTAACTCTGGAGAATATTATGAATGGCTTGTTTTAACTGTAAATTTGTTTTCAATTTCTTGTGTTGGGTTTTTTTTTTTTTTCTTATTTTGCATTGTGCTAGATAGTGACAAAATATAGTATGATAGCAAATATGAAAATGTAAATAATGCAAATTCTACAACCAAATATTTGAAAAGCAGAACTTTTGTAGTATGGATCTAGTTATTTCAGTGTCCCAATACAGTAGCATTTTCACCAGTTTTGGTTACCTCAAGTGTCACTTTTTAGGATGTACGTATCTGAGGAGATAAGTTCAAAACATGGACTTGCTTGGAATATTAAATAATCTTTGGTTAATATGAATATTGTTATACAGCCCAGTCTGGGAAATAAGTGTTTAATCATTGGTAATTCATACATCGTGATGCTGCAAAATAGTACTTACTGTGACAGTCTAGCTAGACATTAATAACATGTGATAGAAATGAAGAAAAATATAACCTTCCATCCTGCAGATGGTGTATGAGTTATTTATGAGTACCCATAAAGAAAATGAACAGATTCTTATTTTAGCTGAATAGAAACTAAGGTTTCTGAAACAATATGCTGAGAAATCAATCAATGCTTTTTAATTTAAACTATACATTCTAATTGAACAATTTCTGGTTGTTTTAAGCTAGAATGATGTAGGTTTTAGAATAAAAAATGTGGAACTTTACTAGTCATAGAACACAGAAACATCTGTTAAAGACGAGAGCAATTTTGACAAAGTCATATGCATAGGAAGTTTCTCGAAATCTCCTATTTAAGACAGTATTTGCAACATATATAGAGCATAAAGTGGTAATTTTCTGTCTTCTAATCATTTGAAATTTGAAAAAGTTTTCGTTAAATAGGCTTTATGTTAGAGCTGTACACAATAATCCAAGACTGGTTTTTTCGGAAAGAATCTACAGAATATTTTCATTCTCTTAAATAAGCTAGTGTGGTGAGACATTAAGTCTCACAAATAAACTTTCTCTCATCTTTACAAGTTCATCTGTTTCTATTCCCTTTCTTTTGAGTCCTTGAGTAGCAGAATCATGAGTTGTCTGTGATTTGTTGCTGCCACTAATACCTAATTTGGACAAAGAGCTAATGAGCTATAGAGATTTTCCATTTCTCTATTTTATTCTTGCTACGGCATTAATCCTATATTATGACTTTAGTTTTGTTTTATTTTCTGATTTTTAGTTACTCTAATAAAAATAGCCAAGAAAGTCCATATAGCTCTTCACCTTGAGAGGTACAGAGAGTATTTTGGGGAGTTGTAGCAGTTTGGTTAGATTCCTCATTTGGTAAAGTTTGATCCAGTAGAGGAAAAAAAAAAGCAGTAAAAACTTTTTTGTATGGAGTATCATGAGTATTGAAATAAGCATAAGTTTTAATTTCACAATCAAGGAGAGCAAAAAGCTGGATTGAATATACAGTATCTTTAAGTGATTTCTTCTATATACTTATATTTCTTGTAGGAGTACCAAGATATCGTACTATTTCTCTCACAAAAAGTTCTCTGAAATCTTTTCTGTAATAACCTAGTCCCATACTTACAATTTAACTCTAAAGCTATACACTCAGGAAACTGTGAGTCCCCGGATGTAAGAAGCATGATGATTTTTTTTTTAGTGTTCCAGACCTGAATTAAAAATTAAAATAACCTAACTGTTAACTTGCAAAAGCCAGCTGTTAATGCATAATAGAAAAAGAATTTTGTTTTTCCCAGATCTAATCCTCAGGTTCAGTGATGACCCCCTTTGGTATGTCCCATTAGATACAATTCTTTGGCAAAGGTACTTATTTTGGTATAAAAATATTCATACTAAACACAAACTGATGTGTTGTTCAGAACATAAGACCAGTAGACAAACTTTGCAGTGATTAGTTAGGATTAACAGTTTAAGGATCTGTTTGGAATTTGAGTAAAAATGAAACTTTTTGGAGCATTTTTCAGCTTCTCCAGAGGTTTTTAACATTGTATCCTAGACTAGAATAAGTATGTTCTACCTGGCATGAACCTCTATAGGAACAATATTCCGCATCAGTAGTATTAAATTAAGAAAAATGGGTGTCATTTTTCCACACCATTAACATCTCTGTAACCCTTTGGAGGGATTCCTGTTCCTCTTCCTCTGTTTTGGGGAGAAACAATAACAAATCTTGCTGCTTTGCTTTTCTCCCATGAGCTTCTTGCTTTCTAATGTATTAACAGTTTATAAGTTCTCTTTTCACTGGGTTTCCCTTTACTGAAATCTTAGATAGAATGATTAAAGTTTTGCTGCTTAACACAACGTTTTGCTGTTCTGTCTCCGATAAGTCCAGAGGAATGTACAAACTAAAATTAAGGTCATTTGGGGGGATTATTTGTTTTTTATTGAAAAACCTTCAGGAAATCTGGTATGTTTGCACTGTCAAACTATGTCATGGCCCTTTCTGCTGAGTTACTTGTCAATTTTATTTAATTACCATATACAGTGAGGTTTGCACACACATACACATGCACACACATACTTCACGATTTCATTTTTCTGTAGGCAGAACACAGGTATTCCAATACTGTTGCTTCAGTATACAGAACTGTCTTACTCCTGCTGTAAGTGTATGTTTATACTTTCTAAAAAAATGGTGAAATAGTACTTGGCAGTATGTATTTGTTTTTACTGATGTTTCCATTATCAGAATACCATGTTCAATGCCAGCAGCATATTAATATTATTTCACCTAGCCCTGTTGGAACTGCACAGTGTTCTTGGTAGCCAGGAATAGACAGGAATTGTGAATCTAATAGTGACACAGGTTTTCATTTGTGTGTGCATTGGTATTGCTGCGCAAGTAGTATTCCAAATTGAGTTATCAGTGAGAAAGCCTGTAGTAAATGTAAAAATGTTGTAGGTTTCTATCAGTCAAATATAAATGTTACCATCTATGTTTGCTATGTAATTTTGATGGGAAATTATGATGGGGTTTCATGTCACAACATTTTGTTGTTAATGTAGTTCCTGTTGCTTCAAATGAAATAAAAAGAAGTTACACATCAAAGTTTGTGAAAGGAAAATTGTGTCTATGAAATGTTGTTTCATTTTATTTACCTAACACAAAGCAGAGCACTAATGAAACAATTGCCTGTTCTTCCTAAATAGCTTTATTATACGTGGCCACATATAGTGCAAACACCAAGTGATTGAGGTGTATAAATAATGAGGAAGATGTGTTTTCATGTGAGTCCAGCAGATGAAACAAAGAAACTTGAGTAGTGAGAGAAACATACTGCTAGAGGTGATGTTGGTTAGATTCTGGGATGGTGTTCTCATGAAGTAGTCAATGCTCTAGCCTTGAGGTATTTTAAAATATTCTTGGGGAAACATAAAAAGTGTGTAGAAAGGAAGAAGCTTGCACGATCCAACAGGTCTTGTCTATCTCCTAATATCTTTGCTTACATAAACATTAGGATATTTCTACCTAAATCTAATTAAAATAACAAGAAAGATCAACCTGCATACAACATGTATCAGCTCTTGGGACGTCTGGTGAAATTTCAGAATTCCAACTCCTGAAACCTGGTGACTGGTCTGTTGTGAAACTTGGTCAGGCGGGATTTGATCGCACTCTAACTCATAGTTGGTGGGATTAAATTCATAGACAGGAAGTCAGTGCTGGTTGCATATTTGTGGCCTGGAGAAATAATTGAATTTTTCTAGAAAAAATAGTCACAGTCCTTTTTAAAAATTTTAAGTATTGGACGTGAGCTGTTAGCAAAATGTGACTCATCAGTGACAGTGGACTTTGGTGTGTACTGTTAATGTCACAAAAACAAACATGTCTTTTGCTTCTGGGTTAGAAAAAGGTTTTAGTTTACCATTAGTAATACTGTTGGAATTTTGTTTAAAATTGAAACAATATAAATAAAATGTATTTATACATGAAGATAAAAGAATTTTTCCATGTTTTTTTGGTACAGATGACCCATGCTTATTTGGTATGCATTTTTTTCTGTGTATAAACCAGAAGTGTAGTATTCCCTCATGCTGCAGAAAAGAGATCTTTTTCTGCACGTGGGAAGAAAGGACAAGATGAAAAAGATATATATCACATTTTCATTTTATTAAGTCATCAAGGAAGACAGTTTGACGATCATATAATTGACATTGTCAAATTCACAGAGTTTGGATACTCTGTTTCAATTACATCTCTTTGCCAAGGTGGCGAAGTGTAGACTACACTGCATTTCTTGAAGGTTTAGTATGCAGCGTGAGTGGTGATCAATGGCGGGCACCAGTTTCAGCCTGTCCGCTGAGCAGTACGCAGAGGGAGCAAAAGCTGTCTTCCTTGCTGCTCCTCCATACCAAGTCGCAGTCCGAGTCCCCTTCTCCATCATCCCTCCCTTTTCAACTAAGGTGATCTAATCAACTAAGGCAGTCGAATCAAACGTTCTTTGTCGCATCCCTCAACCATTGCAGAACCTGAATGTGCAGATTATAATACAATTTTCTCACTTTCAGGGGATTTTTTCAAAATTCTGCAATTAAAGTTTTATCCTTAAACTGTATGTAATCATCT